CTCTCTCTCTCTCTCTCTCTCTCTCTCTCTCTCTCTCTCTCTCTCTCGGCTTCATAGCCATGCATGCCTGCCTGCATGTCACCATGCTCACTGCCATGATAATAAGCCTCTAAAACTGCAAGCAAGCTCCCTATTAAATGCTTTCCTTTATAAGAGTTGCCTTGGTCATGGTGTCTCTTCACAGCAATAGAACAGCGACTAAGACAACTCTTCCAAAACCACAAGGTCTCATTTCATTCTCTGTTATAGCTGGGAACACACTTTACCAATGTATATTGTACCACAGAATTTTTGTGTGTCTGTTGTCCTGTACCCCTGTACCATGATCTTCAGGGCATCATTAATATTTATTACAGTAGAAATAGCTCATTATAACTCCCTAGCTTTGACTTTATTATCATCACAAATGTCATTATGATGGACTCCTACAGAAAGGAGCCTCACTCTCCTGTTCTCTGCTTTACAACAGAGAACTGTGGCCAAAACTTCCTTACGTGCACTCACCTCCAGGACTAATTTCTCTCTTCATCTCTAAGTAAATGTTCCAGCAGAGCTGGATAGTTATCCATTTTGTACCACAGAACTCTCCCAGTAGTCATAAGAAGTAGTAGATAGAGAGTTATAGGGGCAAAGACATGGCTGGTTTTGTCAGACTATGAGTTTGATGAACTTTTCACAAGGTAAGTCTTTTGTGTCTAGCTTGCTTGCTTCAGCACTCTTTGTGAGACTCACGTGTGTGTTCCCATGGGTGCACATTATAATATAATATAATATAATATAATATAATATAATATAATATAATATAATATAATATAATATAATATAATATGTATAATGGCCTGCTCACTGTCTCATCCCATCTATGTTATTTTTAGGACTTGCAAAATATTCTTGAGTCTATCAGCCAGTTTGGGACCACCTCTGTACTTATGAGGCAGGCCCAGTCATTAAAAATTGTAGAGAAAGATGACTACCCTGAGCTTGCCCATACCCACCCCACAAAGACATTCTACTCTCAGACAGTCTAGATTTTTCCAGCCCTTAATGTAAAAAAAAATTTAAAAATTTTTTATTTTTGTGTATGACAGTTTGCTTGTGTATACATATGTATACCATGTGTGTGGAGTATCTACAGGATTCAGAAGAGTGTTGGAACCCCTAGAACTAGTGTGTTACAGATGGTTGTGAGCTGTCATGTGGGGGCTGAGAATTGAAGGCAGGTTCTCTGGAAGAGCAACCAGTGCTCTTAACCTAACTGTTGAGCCATCTCTCTAACCCTTATTTTTATTTTTAATTATGTGAATATCTTCATGACTACATATGGGTTGGTTCACATGGGTGTAGTTCCTAAATAGGTCAGAAGATCAGAAGAGGGTGCCAGATCTCCTGCAGCTGGAATTATAGGCAGTTGTGATCTCCCTGACATGGGTGCTGGAAACGGAACTTGGGTCCTTTGCAAGAACAGTACTAGCTCTTACTGCTGTGCCAACTCTTCGGATCTTTACTCTAATTCATATATATATGAATTTATATATATATATATATGTTACATTACAAGCTAGGATCCACATCTGAGAGTGTGAGGCTTTTTCTTTCTGAGTTTGGGTCACCTTGCTTAATACACTTTCCAGAGCCACCCGTTTCCCTGAAAGTTTTATATTTTCATTTTTCTTTATGCAGGGTAAAATTCCATTATTCATATTACAACATTATGTACTTGCCTGTTGATGAGCATCTACCCTTTCCTTGCTAGGGTAAAGAGTGGAGCAATAAACATGTATATGCAAACATCTTTATGGTACTCTGTAGAGTCCTTTGGGTATATGCTCCAAATCCATTGTTTTTTGTTTTGTTTTGTTTTTCAAACACACTCAGGTTTTTTAACTTGTGTTTGAGGAATCCAAACTTATATTCTCATGCTTGCATGGTAAGTGGTTTACTGTCCAAGCCACCTTCCTAGGACGTTTCATTAAAAAAAAAAGTTTAAATTATGTTTATTTATTTACAGGGCCAAAGAGCTATCAGGAGTCAGTTCTTTCTTTCTACCATGTGGGTTCTGGGAATGAGACTCAGATTTTCAGGTTTGGCAGCAAGTGACTATTCTGCTGAGTCCTTTCATGGGTCCTTTCTCTTTTGAAGGAAAACAATTTGCCTCTTTGATTAAATATTATCAACAACTTCTCCACATCCTGATATCCCTCCTGACACTAATGTGTGTGCTGCTTGCTGCCTCTGCCTAGGGTCACTTCTGGTCTTCTCTCTGGTTCAGCTTCTAGATTCCAGTGTCATCGGGAACCCCCACTCTCGCCTTTATCATTTCTTTGACCCTTTGGATGTTTGTTCTCTCCTCTGGTACTGGAGATGGAACTCCAGGGCTTGACTATGCCAGGCAAACACTGTATACCCCCAGTAGCAATTCTCTCTCCTGTCTTTAATTTTTATCTTGAGATAAGGTCTTGCTAAAGTTGCCAAGGTTGGCTCAAACTTGTGGTCCTTCTGCCTTAGCCTCCCGAGTATCTGGGATTACATGTGAGCACTAGCTTACTTGCACCATCCTGGTAATTATACTCTTTGTGCTATGTTTACCAAAGCAGTTGGCATTTTCATATTTTCTTCCAGAACTATAGCTTTACATGTCTGCCTCTTCTGAAATATGGAGTTCTTTGGCGTCTTGCTTACCGCTGCATCTCTCAGAGTGCCTGGGTCAGAAAAGGTGCTTGGAAAAGTTGGTTGAATAAATAAAAATAAATTGGAGTACAACATATCCTATATACTCATTCATTCAAGAAATATTTATTGAGTGTTTGAACGTGCCTGGCCATGTTCCAGTTGTTGAAAATAAGCAAAACAAAACATTCCTGCCCTGAGGGACATGAAAGACAGGAGGGGTTTTAAGGACTAGGAAGAGAAGCAAAGCACAGAAAAGGGAGACTACATGGTGAAGGTGGGACTTAATATCCACCAAAGGAAATACCTTTGGAGTAGAAATGTGAAGTGAGACACATCTTTCCATGGCCAGAAGAAGATAAACAAAGTGCAAAGGTCATTCATGTTCTAGGAGCAGGTAGGAGGCTAATGTGGCTGGCTGAGGACTAGAGAAGAAGGAGATACACTTAGTTAGAAAAAAAGAGCAGATTGCATGTGATCTAGGGGTCCCTGGAATAAAGGCTTTTTTTTGTTTTTGTTTTTAATTTGCCCAAGATATTAACCATTGGATTTTAAAACATGTATTTATTTTACATTCTAATCAGTTTCCATTCCTTGCTTTCCTCCCCATCCCTCCCCAAGGAACATTATTTTGACTTAGGCTTTAACAAAATCCCCGGGACTGCTGTGTTGAACACAGGTTGGAATGAAGGAGAGCAGGTAGGAAAAATGCTATTTCAGTATTCCCAGCATACAGACAGCTAAAGGTGGGATTGGCAGATTTGCTAATGGGTTAAGATGGCTATGATTGGAAGAGAGGAGTGAAGGGTAGCTGAGATGCTTTGGCCTGGACATTAAAAAAAACTGGGCTTGACATGGACTGTAGTGAGGATAATTGTGTAATGACCATGTGCAGTGTGTTAAGGTGCCAGTTCTACTGTTTGACTCAGGACATGTTAAGTTTGACACATTGCTCACACTTAAAACATATATTTACTGACTGTAATAAACTCAGCCTTTTTGTTTTGTTCTTTGAGACAGGGTCTTACTATGTAGTCGAGACTGGTTTGGAATTTGCTATGTAGCCCAGGCTGACCCCAAACTTGCAATCCTCCTGCTTCAGCCTCTTTGAGTGATATTACAGGTGTAGGCCATCTCATACACAGCTATAAATTCAGCCTCACTTACTAAACAACAAGATGAGGTGCAGGAAGCTGTATAGACTGACGTTTAATCTTCTCATTCTACATAACCCTAATATTTTGTTGCCTTTTGTGGACAAGAGATTGTGGCCAATTGATATTATTAGATATAAGCAAATCTGGGACTGGGACCCGCTTAGTCTTCAGAGCTGTTTGTCAATCTGGATCCGAAGGGTGAGGACCACGTTCTGAACATATTTGCCACAGATATAGGTTCTGTTGTGAAAAGATGCCTGGAACATGAAACAAGATTTTAATCCCAGGCCAGTAGCCGCTGTGAAGATGAGGGCATGATGGAAGCAGGTGTTTGAAAGCTCCACTCTCAGTGGAGACAGTGTTAAAGAATCGGAGATCAATTTCTGCTGCTATTTATTTGAGTATTTATTTGAGATACTAAAACCTGCCCTGAACCCTTAGTGGGTGTTAAAAAAACAACTCCCAAATGTTGCTAATTTGGAAACACTGCACTGGGGAGAGAAGGCGCACGGGTCTGGGACTCTTGCCCAGACTATATCCTTTTGAAAGTTTAACCTCGTGTGGCCTTCCTTAGGTGGCCCTCAAGAAAGACCAGGATACGGAGCACAAAGGCCGGGAACTGCTTAGGGCCTCAGCATCCGCCCCGGTGTCCGCCTCCCCTGCCCCCGTTGGCTCCCCACACAGGGAACGCGGGCGGGTAGCCGACCGGCGCATGCGCTCTGGGTAAGGTCCGCTCCCCGCGACGCCAAGGGGCTTGCGCTCTTTTCCGAAGCCCCGCCTCCTAGCGCCCGAGGCGACCTGGGCGGGGGCGGGGCGGCGGACCACGCCCCCAGCCGAGTCGAAGAGGGCCGACCGGAGCCGAACGCCTCCGAGTGCCACCGAGCTCAGCCGAGCGGCCGGGAGTCAGTTGGTTCAGCTCGTCTTCGCCACAGAAGCAGCCCGTGGCTCTGGCGTCGCCGCCACCGCCGCCGCCTCCGCGGGGCCTGCGCCGGCCGCCCGCCCACCGGGGAGGGAGGGAGGCCTGCAGCGTGGGGAGAGCAGCCGGGCCACGGGTGCCGCCGTCGCCGCCGCCGCCAGGTGAGCGCCCGCCGAGGCCCGTCGTCCTCACAGCTGTCAGTCCCCGGCGTCTGTGTGTCTCCCCGCCTGTCAGCCCCTGTGTGTTTGCGAGCGCCTTCCCGCCAGGCCCGGCTCCCGCCCGGCCCTGTCAGCCGCCAGCACCCCCGCTCCGAGCGGCCCCGCCCCTTCCCCCAGATGTCCCGCCTTCCCCATCTGTCAGCGCCGCGCTCGCCGTGGGCTCCACGCCCGGGCGTCCAGGTCTGGGTGGTCGCGCGGGGCAGAGTTGCAGAAGGAGCCGAAGCGGGCTGGAGGTGGAGGCCTGGCCGTGGGTGCGTGTGTCCGCACTCCCGCGGGCGGCTGCGAGCGGCTGGCACCGGTGCCTCTGGTGAAAAGAGCGTCGGGACTCGAACCACTGAGGGGTACAGTGGAATCCTCATTGCCTGCGCGGAAACACCCGGTTTTTTGTTTTATTTATTTATTTAGTTTTATTCGAATCTTAAGGTTCTAGGATGCCCAGATGGGCGTGTGAGCAGAGTTTGGGACTTGTGAAGCCTCGCTAGCGAGTTTGGGGTTTTCATTCAGAGAAACCTGTTGGAAGTGATTGAGGAGTGAGTGGGGTGTGGGGCTTAGGGTGGAAAGTATCTGAGAGCTTGAGGCATTTTGAGTTGTGTGGCTTGCATTTGTGAACAGTGATTGCCCTAGTAGTGTGCCCTGTGAGAAACTGTTATGTGACGTGGGTTGGGGGTTAGAGAAGAGAAGGCATGCTCTTTCTGCCTTTATTGGTGTTATGCCAGCACGTATATTTATCTAGATAGCCTAACATGTTTATTCATAAGGCATCCACACATTTTTTAATTAAAAAAAGAATATGGCACTTTCTATATCTGTATATCTATATATGTTCTCATATGTTACTATCTTGATTTATTTTTTTGTTTGTGGTAACGTAGTATCGCAATATTTCAAAACTAACAGAAATGTGTTCTAAAATAGTTGGTAGCTTGCCGGATAATTCTCAACCGAGGAGAAAAGAGCCAAAAGCACACTTCATTAGCTGGAACAACTGATTCGGGCTTAATTTGCTTCTACGAGACATACAGTGGAAAAATCCAGAAACAGCAAAGAAGTATCAAAGAGACTTAGGAAATGAGCAAAAGGGCCTTTTTATGTGTGTGCCTTAGAGAGATGGTATCAGAGCAGCTCTAAGGGGACAGGCCTGCTGTGTAATGATAAACATATTAACCAAGTTGGTTTTGTGACCTTGATACATTGGGCCATGCTTGATTTGTGCAGTGGTTCACGGCAGGCAAACATTGCATGGGAAGTGTGGTAATTTTTTGGAAAAGAGAAAGTTCCCTATGTTGTTTTTTCCCTCAGTTGAAGTAAGATTTCAGACTAGAGTGGTCCAAAATTGGGATGGGTGAGGGGGTGGGGGGCTGGGGAACTGCAGGTCTGGGGGCGTGTGTGTGTGTGTGAGTGAGAGAGAGAGAGAGAGAGAGAGAGAGCGAGCAGCGAGCATGTGTGAACACTTGTGTGGAACCATCCCTGTTTTTTCTGTCTCTGATTTATTTTTAAGGCAGAAAATTTGAGTAACAAAAGTGTAAGGGAAAAAAAAACCCTTATAGCTCACAAACACTAGTAAACTTGTTTGGCATTTATCTTTTTCAGTCTTTTGTTCTCAAGTATATGTCTTTTCTTTTTTCTCACTCTCAAAGTGCTACCAGCCTATACGAGTTTTATTGTATATTTTTCCTTCCATTTATAAATAGATTGTGAGGGGTATGCCTTGCTTTTATGAGCAATTATTTTCCCTTTAAAAACTTTTAAAAACAAAAGAAAAGAAATCCAGGTCTTGGGAGTTCTGTACTTGCAGCCCTCCAGTAATTTCTCCTCCAGTCCTCTCTGTGGCCAAATCAATCTCCACTGTCTTTTTTAAGAAGTTCAGTCATACTCCAGCCTCGGTGCCTCTGCATTTATGCTTCCTCTGTGTACACAGCTGGCCTAGAGATTGTAAAGTTAAAATGAGCTTCCTTAACTTTAGGTCTTCAGGTTTTCCCAGACAACTCTACAAGATCACATCACTCTATGTCTTTCACTCTCTGCTGTACTTATCACCACTTCATTGTATTTATATGTTGGTTTATTGTCTGTCTCCTTGCTATCTCACCAGCTTGAAGCCTTGTTTCACTGAAATACCCTCAGGGTTTAGAACTGCTCCTGTTCCACCGTGGGTACTTAGTATTTGTTCAGTAAGTAAACAGATGGATGCTAGTTGTCCATCTATCTAGTCAAGTGACATTGCTGGTAGACTTCTAAGTAGCTATATCATGAGGTGAAGTAACATTTTTAAAATCTGTGATTATCCTCTTTTAGCATATTGTAGAGGAATTTTACAAGGTGAGCCTTAGTGTCTTAAAAAGAATGACAGTCTTAGGGGCTGGAGAGACAGCTCAGCAGCTAAAAGCACTGGCTGCTCTTCCAAAGAGGACCAGGTTCCAACTCCAGCACCTGCATGGACAACTATCTGCAACTCCAGTCTCAAGAGATCCAATACCTTCCACTGGCTTCTGTGGGTACCAGGAGCACAAGTGGTATACAGATATACTCAAAGACAAAATATCCATACACATAAAATAAAAATAATAAAATTAGAAAAAAAGGCTGGAGCGTTGGCTCAGCAGTGAAGAGCACTTGTTACTCTTGGAGAAGATCAAGGTTTGAGTCCCAGCTCCCACAAGGCAGCTCAGAACCATCTGTAACTCCAGTCTCAGGGGAACTGACACAGTTTTCTGACCTCCATCGGTACCAGGCACACATCTAATGCTCATACATACATGCAGACAGAACACTCATACACACAAAATAATAAAATCAATGACTCTTAAAAAAAAGAAAAAGAAAGAAAAGAAAACCTTGATTTAATTTGAACAGTTTCAGGAAGGAGCATTTTTGGCAAATGTTGCTGGCTTTCCTCCTTATGTGTTACCCTTCTTTGTCACACTTTAAATTTTGGAGCAGACTACAGTGTCCCAGTTTGGTAGGTCTTAGCGATAGTATAAGCCTTAAGAGCATAGTGAGCTTTTTGTGGCCACAGATACCCAAAGGTGTAATGAGAGCCTTGATGTGTTTTCATTTGGGGAGTAGCTGTTATAGTTACTTACTTTCTTGGCAATTCTGTCCTTTTCATGTCTCTGCTTATCATTTTTGGATTGCTTTGGAGGTGCACTTACTTGCTTGGGCTTTTTTTCTTTTTAAACATTTTATAATTAATCCTTAACCTTTGAACAGTTTTCATCTTTTGTGTGACCTTTGAACTGTTTGAAAGTGTCAGCTTCATCTTTCAGGAGAAAACAACATCTGTAGTAAAGTGTATCATTGTGCTTTCATTGATAAGGATGGGGAAAATTTTATTTTTGAGTGTAAAATTCTTATACGTTTGAACATCAGATAGGCTACTTTTGTTTTTAGTGAGTTTGGTTGGGGGGAGATTTGCTGTTTTCTCTGAACCTTTCCTAGAACAATCCAGCCTAGAGACCTTAGGAAAACTTTTGATGCTTATGTCTCAGGTACATAAGAACTCAGTGGTGTAGTGTATATGTCCTAAATGGAAATTTTATTCTGCTGAGGGACTATAGGGAATATGTTAAAATTTATTCTTCAATGGACATTTGTTGCAAATGTATTTGAGTTCAAGTCTGTGTGCTTTTGTAGAAGTTGCTTAATCCTATTCAGTTTTAGATTTCCCTCTCTTCCTCCGAGACAGAGTCTTGATGTATAGCTGAGGCTGCCCTTGAACTCACTGTATTGCCTAGAAAGTCCTTGAGCTTGTAATTCTCTTGCTTCAGCTTTCTAAATTCTGGGAATTAAAGCATGTAACCACCATAACTCAATGTTATCATTTCTTTTCTCACTCAGCATTCTCTCTTCTTTTCTCAGCAATTTCTCTTCTCTCATTGCATCCCTACCCCAGTTAGACTCATCCATCTTTAGTATGCCCTCCATAGAGACAACTCCCTCTTTAAGCCCCCCTCCCCCACCCCATCTCTCTGGCTTGAGGCTTGCATTTTCATCTATCAAACTTTACTGTTGTCTTTGCTTGCCACCTCATCTTAAACTTCACATGTCTATAAATTACCTGCTCCCTCCTCTCCTGTTTCATGTTACCAATATAATTTGGGGCCTTGTGTTTGCTAACTAGTTATCCTACAACTGAGCTAAATCCAAAACCCCCAATTTGGTCTTTCAGTCTCCCTCTCAAACTTCCACATCTGTTGTCTTCATTCTTGATGCCACCTCAGAATATTTCAAATCATGTTCCTTCCTAGTCTTGCATTCTCTTTTCTCAGCTGGATGACTGTTGATGCCCCTTAGTTGGTCTTCTGGCCTCACTCTTGTCTGCTTCTTCTACTGAAGCCACGGGAAACTGATTAAAAGACAAGGGCAGAGCACTTCTTTGTTGAGTGGCTACCCACTGTACTGGAGTCACATCTGTGAATACTTTGAGGTGCCACCCAGCCCCCACAACTCTCTCCAGTCCCTGTTCATTGCTTGTGTTTGTCAGGTTGAACACCTTCAATTCCTCAAATATCCAAGTTCTCTTCCTCATTTGTATAACTCCTTCTCTTTACCTGGCACTCTTAGAAAGAGCCTCTTCCCTTCAGAATGGCCATTACTGATGGTCCCTTGTATAGTAGCTTCCTTCTCATTGTCCCATCTCAGCACATACACATTTCCTGTTAGGACTTCACTAAAATCCCAAGAATTTTCATTTATATGTTTCTTCCTTTCTTTATTGTCTCTTTGCCAATATATTGCAAGATATATATGTGTGAGGACAGTTTTGCCTTGGTTATGGTATGGCTCTTGTGTGCAACTCTCTCTGTGGGATCCTGTAGGTTAATATTTCAAGCACATTGGATAATGATTATAATATCTAACCATTTTGAAATGTATTAAGTACAAGGTCCACTCCTAAGTATAGTCACAAATTGGGAGACCCTGGTAAGGTGCAATGACATTTA